ATTGCGCACCAGGCGGTTTCAGAGAATAGGAGGCACAACCCAGGCCAAGTGGCACGATGACAAACATGCGACGCTCCAAAGTGGTCTTGTAGGAGGGTGCGGTGGTGTAAATATCATTAAGGAGAATTACACATCGGGTAACCTTAATGTACAAGTCGTCCCCAAGGAAGATACACGAGAGTCCAGAGTGAGTGTGGGAGAACACAGGTTCAAATGCAAATTTCAAGCATGCAACACATGAATACACAAGCTGTCATGTAAGAAAACATGCAAAAGTTCGATAATGCAAATGCATGAAGTATTGCGACCAAACGAGGCACAAATACCATTATGAACATATGAGAACATATGCTCACAGGGGCACAACAGAGTGATGGTGCAAATGTGCTAATGAGCAGGATGTAAAACTTGTAATAATGAAACATTCAACTGAAATCGGTCGATCGATGTGATAGAGCCGATAGAAGTGGTCGATTGAGCCGATCACGTCAGTGACAGCCGATCGGTCGAGTTAACAAGAAAGTTTAGTCAAGAGCATCAAGTCGATGACAACTGATACATCAAATCGATAGAAATGCTTGGTCAAGCAAATCGGGCCAGTGATGACTAATGGGTCGAGTCGACAGAAAGGCTGGTCAAGGAGGATACACGTACCCCAAATAAATGATCATAACATATGAAGACACGACCAAAACATACTTCACCTCACCTCGACGTCGTTGCCGTTCTGGAAGCAATAAGGAGCTTCAACAAGGCCTCAGGCTGAGAAGGAGGGCCATGAGGAAGCTTTGGCCACACACAAATCTAGAGGGAATGTCGGTGGAGGTTCTACCTAAGGGAGGAAGCACCATCCAGCATTGGTGAGGTTGTCGGAATCCCATTGTTGCCTTTCTAGTCAGCTATAATCATGGCCACACTGTGAGGGTATCTCATGAAGGCGATGCGGGAGAAATGGAGAGAAGGGGAGGTGTAGCGAGGGAAAATGTCAGAGCTAGTTGCGAGCGTTGAGGGAAGCTGCTGGTAATGGCCGATTAGAGATCGAGCAGGTTGGAGGCTAGGCTAGGGCCTGCACCCCCTTTTTTCCGTGAAAAACCTTGGGGATGTCATATGAAGAGGTACGACGGTAGGTAAGCTCGACGCGGGGTGAGGTGGCCGACGACGAAGTGTCGCAATTGTGGGCTGTGTAATAGAGAGGGGCTTCCACGGAGAATATAAGCTATCCAAGTTGTCTCTGCCACGGTTACAAAGCATCCTTATGGCTGCCACGGAGAACCCCCAAGTCATATGGTTTGAGAAGCATCGAAATTGAATGGTTATGAAGTCAGAAGTGTCATAAGATAAGATGTTCTCATTAAAGAACTGATTGAGAAGTCAGATGGTTCGAGAAGCATTGTATGCTAAATGAACAGAGAAGTCAAGCAATCTAAGTTGCATTAGTAAAAAACAAGCAAGACAATTCTCACCAAGTACAACATCACAATATCGTCGGATATTAAGATATCATGACCAGACACAGATGGGTTAGATAACCGAAGAGGTCTAACCAATACGTCATGTACTCCAATATAGCAGTAAAAATTGACCAGATTGGTCAAAAATATCTAAAAGGGGGGAGTAGAATGACCCAAGTGGTCCTACCATAAGGGTACTTTTGTAACACTAGCAAGATGAATCTTGCTGGGGTTGTTTTGAGGAAATGAAGATATTCAGCTTAGGCATGAATCAATAAGGTAAGCAAAGTATTGTAGCTGATGTGATGTGCCTCCTCCAACAAGGCGATAAGAATCGCTCGTATGTCTAGAAAAATGTCAAGAGAGGGTTAGACTAGTTGAGTGGTCTACCCAAGAAATGTGTATCCCTTGAGCTAAACCATATCCGTGAAAAGATATTCACCACATGCATTTATGATGAACAGGACGAGCACCTCTTTCTCATTCATGCAGGATGAAGAAGACATGCACATCTACCATACTCGTGACGATTGGGTACTTTGATTTTGCACCATGCATAAAGTAGGTTGTCGAAAGGCATGGTAAGAGAAGTGCATGGTTTTTCTCATACTGATTATTGGTTACACCAGGTATAGGAGACCATATGAGACTTACTCCTTGCCCGAAATACAAATCATAAATAATTTTAAATAAGATGCATGATTTCTCTTACATGTAGTGGTTGTGAACTTCATCGAACAATTCTTAGTAAGTATAGAAATCATTACTAATAGTTCACAAGGAAGGCAAGTCAACTTCTAGAGGAAGGGCTGCCTCGATCCCGAAGGTAGATGGGCGAAGCGAAAAGCTAGTGGGTGGTAGCCTACAAAGAAGGCAAGTCAACTTTCGACGTAAGGACTACCTGGATCTAGAAGTCAACACGTAATGGGTAAAATGAGTAGGTTTCTACATACAAAGAGGGCAAGTTGACTTCGGAGGAAAGGACTGCCGGGACACGGAGGTCAATGCATAAAGCGTAGGAGAAAGTGGGTGGTAACCCACAAAAAAGGCTAGTCGATTTTCAAGAGAAGGGCGACTTGGAACCAAAGGCCAACATGTGAAATGTGGAGAAAGTGGGTGGAAGCCTATAAAGAAGACAAGTCAAGTCCCAAGGGAAAGACTCCTACAAACTTGAAGGTCAACGCATGAAGCATAAAACAAGCGAGTGGGTGAATGTTGTACCGTATGCCTACTAAGCTTATGAGAGCTTTTCATGTCATTCATATTTTTTTATTGGAGTGCAATATTTTTTTAGGAGGCTTATCAGGATCTTTTTAGAATCCTTGGTTAAATTGTTAAAAATTATTTGATGAGGCATACCAAATTAATCTAGTGTGAGAAGCTTCCGTGTTGGCATCTTAGATTTATAACCAGATACACCATGCAAAATATAGAATTTGCAAAATCTAGGTCCGAATGGAATTTTCCTTAATTATTATCTTCCATAATGCATATCCTTTAATTTCTTTCACCCTTAGCCTAAGTATGCCTCGTTATTCTTATTTGGGTGTTAAGAAAATATTTGTTTTGGAGACATCTTTAAATCAATTACTAATCCATCGACTATCCCAATGTCACTAATTCCATGAACCTAATAACCTAAGGATTTTATCAGGAGAAATTTGAAATCAGAAAGTTTTTTATGTTGAAACTTCTGATTTTTCTATTTTCCTCAAGTTTGTTCTCAGGAGTTGGCCAATTTTTAGCTATAAAGCCTTTCACACTTTTTGTTTTCCTGAGAATTATTGTAGAGCTTCTTTTTTTTTAATACTCTTTTGGAGTTATTTTTTTTAATGTCAAATTTCTTTTCACATCAAAATCCTCTTAAATATAGATTTTTAGAATTTTATGATCCATTACTTGTTAAGCTTTCATTGATTTAATTAATCAAAAAGTAAAAGATTTAAATAGTCATTAAAATTATTCACATTTTAATAACACCTATTTAATCATTCTAAGATGTTCTCAGAACTTGGATGAAAGTTTATTAAAGTGAGGGATTCAGTATTCGAGACTTAATTAGACTCCATGAATATTCGCAAATCATAAGAAAACTTTGTTGATGGTGTAATTACGCTCACCCTTTATATCTATCTGATATCATTGGATGTCAAGATGTTGGATGGGGTATACCTCAATTTCATAAGCCAGGTAGTCTAACCAATATTGTCAGATGTTGAGATGCTCCGAAGAGACATGGACCAGTTGGATAAGCAGAGTGCTTTAACAGATGCAACATGAGACTTGATAAGGTGATGAGAATCATCCAAGTTAATCAAAATATCAGTGAGTTTGGGTGCATGAAGTAATCCAACCCGCAACGATGCTCTTTCCCAAAGAACTGGTTAGAGAGTCAATGAGGCTCCTATAGAGTAAGGCACCATACTTTAGTCACGCAGCTAGAAGCTAAAGATAGCCCGACTAAACTACTTGCTAGATTAATAAAGTGACCCAGCAATAAAATGTTCTCATCAAGAACTAGCCAAGAGGCAAGGTAGTTTGATTAAACGAGGCACTCTCAGATATTAAATGAAATGTGTATCTGAAGCGTTGATTTGTTGTGTATTGTTTTTATAAATATTTTTTTAATATTACAAAGCACACACGCGACAGTGCTAATAATAAATATGCAATTCAATCCCAATAAAATAACAACTTATCAATAATAAATATGCAATTCAATCCCAATAAAATAACTTTCGTAAAAATAATTTTGTCTTTTAAAATCTTTAAATTGCCCAATCCTGCAATAATAACTCAACTATACGTATTGCTCAAGTAATAAAGGGCTCTATTAGAGACCTAGATATCGATTCCACAGGAAAATTGGAAATGCTTATGAATAAATTCTTATGGCTATAATGTAAAACAAAATTCAAACTTCAAAACATAAGTATAAAATTTAAATATAAAATAATTGAGTGTATCCTAAATAAAATGCAGTTAAAAAAACTAAGTTAACTAAACTTATTGTAGGGAGTAAAAACAGTTATATATAGAAGGAGTATTATTCGGCTCCATTCATGTTGATCATTAAAAATAATACAAAAGCTTCCACTGGAAAGGTCCCCTAACTATAAACCAAAATACAAATGACACCTAGAGAGTGACCAATCCACAAAAAGATAACATACAAGAACATAGAAAAAACTAAATAATGATAAAAAGAGAAAAGGAAGCCCCAAAAAAACTAGATATTTTTGTGTTGATTAGCTTTGATTCTTAGATGAGGAGTCTCCAACTTATCACCATGAAGTAGGAGAGCAAGAGGGGTAGGTGGCCTTGTTGCAACATAAATGGAGTTCGTATAAAGGCCATGTCTGGCAAGCCAATTAGCAGGTTGGTTACCTTCTTTGTAGATAAAAGACATATTAACTTTAAACAGCTTGTTGAGATTGTCAATTTTCTATTTCCAATGTATATGATGCCAAGAGGATAGTTGTTCAGTGTTGAGGAAAGTAATCAGTTGAAAAGAGTCCACCTCAATTCACAGTTTATACCATGCAGCTTTCAGTGCAACGGTAAGGGCCCAGTAAAGAGCAATAAGCTAAAATTCCAGAGCATCATGGGCCTCAGTAGGAGCATGAAAGAACAACAAGCATTTGCTAGAGGAATCCAGAATCCCACCCCACGATTGCCAATTTTTGGTTTCCGATGTATGTGGTGCCAAGAGGACAGTTGTTCAGTGTTGAGGAAAGTGATAAGTTGAATAGAGTCCACCTCAATCCATAGTTTATACCATGCAGCTTTCAATGCAAAGGTAAGGGCCCAAAAAATAGCAATAAGCTCAGGTTCCAGAGCATCATGGGCCTCTGCAAGAGCATGAAAGAACAACAAGCATTTGCTAGAGGAATCTCTGAAAACCCCCCCACCCCAGCACCCCATTCAAAAAAGCTACCATCAATATTAATCTTCATGGTATGTTGATCAGGGGGTTGCCAAATAACTGTCTGAGGCAAACTGATATTAGGGAAGTTGTTAAGTTGAATCAGCTTGTTTAAGTAGGAAGCACAGTTTCTAGTAACCTTGGAATGATGAATAGGCTTGTCTTCATGTTTTCTGTTGTTTCTGCACATCCATAAGAACCAGGCCACAATGAAAGGGATAGAATCACCTTTCTTACTTTTCCAGCCGTGACATCCATCTTTGAGATTGGACCAGTCTTTATCCAAGCCCTCAACTTTAATCTTAGTAAGAAGTGTCTTCCACACCTCTTGAGCAAACTCACATTTAAAGAAGAGGTGGTTGTTGTCCTCTTCAAATATCTGACAAAGATAGCATCTAAAAGGCCCTCTCAAACCCTTAAGTTTAAGAATATCATCAGTTGGCAGCAGATTGTTGAAGAACCTCCAATAAAAGAATGATATAGAGGGGGATAGATATATGTCCCAAATGGCTTCACCCCAAGGGACTTGATCCCAACAGTAAAGTTTGGCATAGATGACTTTAGTCAAATTTTGGTTAGCATAGCTATGCCAAATAATTTTGTCTTTCCAACCTTTATCAAAAACAATCTTAGTAACTTGAGATAGGTGGGGCTCCTGTAGAATGGATTGGAGCTTAGTAACAGACCAGGAGTCCCCATCCCAAAGATCACAAACTGAAAGGTAAGGGTTGAAATCAGAGGGGGGAGCCCCTAGCCAGTTTTTAGGACACCAATGGTCTAGCCAGAAGTTCACTTGACCATTCCCCAAATCCCAAATGTACATTTCTTCAGTAAGGTGTCTAATTTTAAGCATATTAGTCAAAATTCTAGAGTCCCCCAACTTTTTGGAGATGAGAGATGGGCGTTGTCCTTTGCAGTATTTTCCTTTCATGAACTTAGCCCATAGGGAAGCTTGGGATCTGAAATTGATCCACATCTTACAGAAATTAATCTATGTGATTTGTTGAAGTCCCTTGAACCCCATCCCACCTGCCATGTTAGGTTTAGCTGCCTTTTGCCAA